CGTGTTTTGAAAAATATTGCATATGGATATGGCATTGAGCACCAGGGAGGCGCAGGTAGGTGCAAAACAATGACTGTCGGTGACAGGAGGCGGCTTGGTTAGAAAACGTAAGGCTGGATATGATTGATAGAGGAACTGTGGCTGTCTGTAAGGAGACAATTAGAGCTGAGCTGCATGCAATGGGTTGGCAGAAAAGTGGAGGAATTCCATCACCGATCATAAAACCTGAGACGAATAGTGAACTGGTGGATAGACATTGTAACTGGGACAATGTGATTTTCTCAGATGAAAGTTCTGTGTGGCTGTTTCCTATAACACTGAAATTCTGGACCAAACAAACTGAAAAACCTTTGTATCAGCGCCCAAAGTACAGTCCGAAATTTAACGTGTGGGGTGGCATATCTGTGTTAGGGGCAACGCCCTCTGGTGTACTGGAAGGAAATATGAACAGTGGAGTTGTACACAGATATTCTCGAGGGACATTTAATTCCATCTGCTCACGTGTTCTATGGACATTTTTGATTTTCCAGCAGGACAACGACCCAAAACATCGTTCAAAGCATTCTACAGGCCTGGTTTCTGGACCCAAAATATGACATTATTAGATTGGCCAAGCTATAGCCCTCACCTCAATCCAATAGAAATGTTTGGGGACTTATGAAGGAAAGTGTCAATAAGAGAAAAACCCTGACAAATATTGCTGAAATGCAAGAAGAGGCGGTCAGATATTGGGACAAAGTATGGACCACGACTTTCTAACTTCTTTGATCAGTAGTATGCCCCGCCGCATTGAAGCCTGCATTGCTGCCCATGGTGACTTGACAAAATACTAACTGTTCACCTGTCTTAGAATGTGGAGTTATGTTCTGCTAATATTTACATTTTATACACGTGGTAATGAGTACCAAAAATAATTACAATCTTAAATTTTCAATCATTTCTGGTTGTACTGTATAAGGGTTAAATTACTACATACGAGAGTAGGCATGGTGACAGGTTTAGGGTTACTATATACGAGAGGAGGCATACACGTAGAGGGTTACTTTATTCGAGTAGGCATACACGTAGAGGGTTACTTCCATACGAGTAGGCATACGCGTAGAGCGTCACTTCATACAAGTAGGCATACACGTAGAAGGTTACTTTATTCGAGTAGGCATACACGTAGAGGCTTACTACATACGAGTAGGTATACACGTAGAGGGTTACTTTATTCGGATATGCATACACGTAGAGGGTTACCTTATTCGATGTAGGCATACACGTAGAGCGTTACTTTATTCGAGTGGGCATACTATTAGACATTAGGGTTACTACATAGGATTAGGCATAAGACTAGGAGATAGCTTACTATATACGAGTAGACTTACATTTAAACATAGGGTTACTATATTCGAGTAGGCATTCAAGCAGATATTAGGCTAATGATATAGGAGGAGACATGCAAGTAGAAATTAGTTACTATCTACGAGTAGGCATAAAACGGACATTGGGTTCACTATATAATAGTTTCAGTCCCGGTTCAAAGGGTGACAGTTAGACGAATTATAAGGTATGGCTCAGAGACCTGCTAAAGACATATGTGTTCCGGCAACAATTGAAATTATTCATTTGGGTGTCAAAACAAAAACATTTCAGTCCCTGTACATAGATGTCCAGCAGCCCAGTCCAAATAATGGATCGTGTACACGAGAGAATGACGTCATCCACGTTTCATGTGGTTTCAAATTTCAGTAAACAATGTCAGTTCCTGAACTTGGTTAAAAGTGTCAACACTGATAACAATATATCACGTGGAAATTCAGACTGACGTTAACAACCACTCTTATGGGATATAGAAAGTGTTTTCCATGAAATGCTAAAGGGTTTCGTGTTCCTGTGGGTTATAGCGTTCATTCGTCACATCTCAGATCCGGGATGTCACTGTATATAAGACGCAGTGATGTAACAAGCAAGACAGTCAGCTGTCTCCGGCTTCACTGCGATCTAAAGGAACGACTGACAGGAATGTTCACAGAATCTTGTGTTAAAGAAAAAGTATTACGTTTTAATGAAAATGAATTTCCTGATAACGCCATTTATTAAGGACTCATACTTGGACAACAGATGTATTTGAAGGTAACAAATTTTACCGAGCAGTTATTCACTTGTTTACATGCGCTTTCAACACAGCTGAACGATATGGAGAGTCATAATTGTGCTCCAGTTGTAGGACTGATCACTCTCTACAAACGTAGTATTCATATAATTATTATTAACTGATAGGGTTAACTTGTCAAAGAAATGTATGTGGCCCGGTTAAGATTGCACTTACGAACATCGTTGTACGGATTTTTTTAAACGTGAATCCTGTCCTTATCTTTGTACATTGTAAATGAGCAAATTGCAATTTTTGTGATTTTTGTAGCCACATAACCTGCTCACATGACTTGTTCAGGGATGTGCAGCTGCTTTATAGCGAGTTTATATTGGTGGTCCCTGTGAGTTCGAAAATACGTCATAACTTCAGTTTCTTTGTAATTAATGGTATTATGGTAGCATTTGCAAGTCAGCTTACGTTACCGGGGCCTGGGGAGAGAGTAGACGACGGAGGATATCAGATAACAGAACTTACTTGTGTGGCGAAATTTGATATGGCGAAACCTGAGACACAACATGAAACATTATTGTACCTCATAGAACAAGTTTTATGGATAACAACTTCTTTATTTCGTGAGTGCGACGTTTCGATACAGATTCTTGTACCGTTGTCAAGCAGGAGTGATACATCCACTACAACTCCAACCACCCCCCTAAAGTCAAGACCGGCGTCATCTCTACATTGACCAGAAGAGCCAAAAACATCTGCTCTACAAACCTACAGGAAGAAATTGAACACCTGAGGAAAGTCTTTGTAGAACGCAACCACTACCCACCTGAAATAGTCAACAGAACCATCGAAGCAACGCTTTCACCTCCTGCCAAAAGATCTAAACCAGAATCAGCCCCCATCAAGATATCCATTCCCTACATTGGTAAAACCATCACACCAAATAAGCTGACTCCTGAAACAACAGGCAGGCATAGACACAACCTCCTCCATGCCAACGGAAGAAAACAACCCACCGTCAACAACAACAACCCGAAATGTGTTATTTACAAAATAAACTGTGATTGTGGACAATGCTACATAGGTGAAACATCCCGACCCATCAACACCCGAGTCAAAGAACATCGCACCTCTGTTGCTAATTCCGACACCAAATCAGCTATCTCTGACCACATCAAAGCTAACCCCAATCATCAAATTGAGTGGTCCGACATCACCATTCTCGCCAACAACCAAACGAACTTCACTAAACGCAAGCTCACAGAAGCCATTCACATCAAACGCCACAAGCCCACCATCAACCGTGATCAAGGATACTTCATTCCATCAGCTTATGATCCACTCCTCCACCAAGTCCAATCTATTGTATAAACATAGCACCTATTGTATAAACATCTCATTGTAACTACATCCTCTGGCTTCCAGTCACTATCCTTTGTGTACTCACTGGCTTCATCAGCTTACTGCTTAGCCAATCATGGCATTTTATGTTGTTTTCTTTGTCCATTATGTTCTTTCATTGTTCTATACAGTATATATGCAGCTCCTACACTTCATGTATCACTCCTGCTTGACAACGGTACAAGAATCTGTATCGAAACGTCGCACTCACGAAATGAAGAAGTTGTTATCCATAAAAACTTGTTCTATATTGTACGTCTCAACTTCTAAAATGCCACTCAAACTAGTTATTATTGTACCCTCATTGTTCTGAAGGCATTTTGGTTTTATCACTTGAACTGCTCGCTCAAACGCACTCAGTGCATACTAGGCGTATCACCCGAACACACCTGGTGAAGTGCACGGGAAAAACCAATAGGTTTTGCATATACGTGTATAAGACGGTGGTCAGCGATACACGGCCCATTCGCTCCTTTCTGCCATTCGGTTCCAGTTCGTGTCAGTTCGTGTTTAGACATTTAGACTACGAATGACTTAGATGTTAGATGTGTAGGTTCAGTTGGCTATTCTGGCGTTAGATTGTTGAACTTGCATTAGTATGTTTAAAGGTTAGGCAATTATCGGTAGTTAGCGGGTCATTTCATTTCAAAGTTCATTTAGAATCACTTAAGAGAATCACGTTTAGTTCTTTGTAAATTCCATAGTTTTCTCACTTATAATAGTTATCACGTTTAGTTCCTTGTTTTAGGCCAAAAGGTAAGTTCAAAATTTTAGTTGATTAGGATTCAGTTAATTTGCATAGCTCTGCCCAATCGTTTTATTTTCCACTGCGCAACACTCATCAGGTCACATATGTGTTACAATGTATAATGCATATGGAAATATTTAGATGGAGTATTCTTTCCAACGATTCTTAAAAAAAAACATTTATAACATTACAGAATAGAGCGAGTTTTCTAAGAATACCTATCTTATTCTTATTGAATAATGTATACATTTTATGAAAAATTTGGTCTGGTAGAAAATATGGCTTTAAATATGAAATTTTAACTCTTGCATTTTTAAGTGAGAACAAAAGAAATAAATAATGACATTCATCGTCATAATACGTTTTGACGTAGTTTGTAAAAATTAGTATAAAAGCACTGGTAAAACAATGCACTGTGCCGCCTGACTGTTGCTGGGTTATAGAGTGTCTAATCTCCCCTCGGAACAGGACAAAGTCAAAGGGACTGTATGAGACATTGTACTTTATTGCACTCGTTGTTATGCGACATGAGTATTGTGATGCATCAGGATATGTCAGCGCTTGTAGGTTCCACTCAACCTTCCCAGTGTTATGGAACTGCTCATGGATATTTCATTAACTCGTGACATGCAACACAGTTTATCCAGTGAAAAGCTTAACATATGAGATAGACATGTATCCCATACAGCTGCAATTCCTTTAACTAAAATATTAAAGGATTTTACGTTTCTGATCGATTTTTCTGCACTGCATGTGGTTCAGCCTACGTGGAACTTGAGACGACCACAACCTACAACTACCAGTCCCTTCACCAACAGGGTGTGGAGTTAACGCCTGGAGTCACGTCGTTCAAGTTCAAGGTAAGTCAGGAACTGACGTCATGCTTGCTTATAAGTATTATTTTGGATTCCTGTATAAGAGGAAAGTAGTTCATTCATTGTGACTATGTGAAGACAATATATTGGGGGGAAAAAATTATACTTCCCATCAAAAGTTTAGACTCACTGAAAACACTCACTATATGTTACGCATATATGTATGGTAACATCGAAGATTGATTTCTCCACTAACTTGGGGTAACCAACTGCAAACCTTGTGCAGATGAATTGTACGAGGATCATGCATCAAATTGATGAAAAGCATGTGCAAATATCGTGCATGTGAACAGTTGCGTCTTGGCATAAAGTTTTGTTAAGAATTCGGCAATTTTCACTGATTTTTATCATTTATTGAACTCATGGCAACAATCTTTATTTCAACGGTACAAATTTGTTTTATAATACATCAGTTCATGTGTAAACAGTAACGGTGTGGAATATTTTGGAAGATCTAGCTTAGAACAGTTGCCTGAAATAAGTGGCTATTTCTACACCAGTGAGTCTAAACTTTTCAGGGGAAGTATAGAATCAAAATGGTATTAATTCCGGTTCTCGTAATGATTAGTGTCAAAGTCAGTCCTTGAAAGCCAGAAGATGAAATGTCATGATGGAAACATGCTCTAATGTCTACCAGGTGAGTTTGTCCTATTGCTTGTCATGTTTGTTCAGTCAGGTTACAAAATGTCACACAGGAGGCACAGATGAACGTCAATGTTGCTGATATCGTCAAAGGCGGGATGGGTCATAACGTCACGACCAACCACAACCAAGGTTGTCAACTCATACAGTACTCTTTGATCTCTAAATTAGTTTATGTGTCAAGAGTGTTTGTATCATATTCATGTGGTCACTGAGATGTTTCTTGATTAGGTCTGTATGATTAAACATATCGATAAGGTGATATGTGACAAGACATGTAGTCTTTATTTGGAAATACATTCTTCAATAATTAGTATTTAAGTTCAAATACAATAATATGGTATTATGAATATATTTCTTTTCAGTTAATGAAAGTTATCTAAGTTTGCTGTTCAATTTTGAAGGTAGCATTTCCTTGTGTCTACTGTTGAAATAAGCTGCCATTTATACTTTACTTATTGAATAATTATCAACAAAAGCACAAATGCTTTAATCATAATCATGAGCAATCTTTGTTACTTGGATCATACAATGAACAGTCTATTGTAACACAACCATGTGTTAATCATGCCTGGTTAATGATGGTATATGACCCACGTATCAACTAAAGGATCTACAGCCTGCATATACCTATGAGCATGTGTTCATGAGTCACCATGAGAGGTGGGTGTGTCCTGCCTCACCGGCGACAGAATGTTCATCTGTTCGAAAACTGAGAAGAGTTGACCATTGTGAAATTGAAGTCATAGCTTTTGTCATACAATCATACAGTCATAACATGTCTGACGCATCAGGAAACCAATAGACATCGAATGTGATGATCAACTCAATGGGTTTTCAATAGGTACCCAGATACCTATACTTTTTCTCGGAAAAGAAACCTAAAACGTTCCTATTATCTATAAATAATCAACCAATAGTAAGGTAAAGGCATGTCATGGCGTCACTTGTATTCTCCGGGAATATGACCATAAATAGATCCATGTCACTATGTAATGGTACTTAACGAAGGGTAAGCGATAGAAAGGTCCATAACACGAACGGTAATAGGCATCAAGGTAGGTTTGTTTCGCTATCTTATGACCTACTACAACTTATAATTTGTAATGTCCATAAGATTGTTAAAGCATTGTAAATAATTTGTAAAGAAACCTTCATTGCCGATTAGAGATGTCATATCATAAATGTAAATATGCGTTTTGAAAATAATAACGAATCGGGGTCTGTGTTGCACTCATGTTATTTTATGAATAGGCTAGATGTAAGTGTATTGCGGTTTGGCGTTCTTATTATTTAAAGCAAAGAGAGCAATATTCTTAATAGAACACAGTATTTACAATCTTTCTATACCCGAATAAATGTGCATTTTATGAATGGGATAGATGCAAGTGTATTACAGTTGGGCGTTCTTGTTGTTTAAAGCTAAAACGCAAAGAACAAAATAGAACAAGTCGTTTTGCATATTGTCAAAAGTTATATTTGAAGACGTAAACTGCAAAGAAAATATATTAAAAAAATGTTTAAATTAAAACCGAAACACATTCAGAAAGAAGGTGACACCATATATCACAAATCGAAGAACTACAATAAGCAGGGAGTATGGAGAAATCTGAAGGAAGTACATTAGGTGGGATATATTTAAAATCCATTGTCAGAAGGTTAATTGTTCGCTGTTGTAAAACTAACGATTGTAAATGAAAAGCAGCGAGAGAATGGTAAGGGACAGAAACCTTTCCTCGAAATGATCTGAACATTAGCTTAATCATGAGCTAATGCTCATTTTGGTCACAGGTGTGTTATTGAAATGCCCTCCATATGTATACCAGAAAACTTCACATGGCTGTTTCAACCTTGATCAAACAATTTCTCAGAAACACTTGGTTAAAACACCATGCTTGATTGCACATCAAACTGTGTGAAATATTAACATCAGTACTCTGAAGCTGTTGAAGTTATTCCCTGTGCCATTCAGCTCTGTGGGGAGACTTGTGCCACTCTGTATCTGCATAGATCTAATTAAGAAGCACATGAGGCGGCCTCACTTAGCACCTGGCATTTTACAACTTCATAACACACTTGCTTTCATTTCTGAAAATATGATTGAGTCTTTGCAGATAGATATGGAAGTATCTATGCTCGCCACTTTATGAACATTTGCCCAATGGGAATTCGAAGTTGTAAGCTGGAATCGTTTTCTCCGAGATCCGCCCTTGAGTGTTATTTACGGGCGATGGGGTTCTTCACCACATGGGTACAATGTGTGAAGCCCATTTCTGGTGTCCCCACCCCACCCCACCCCCGATATTGCTGGAATATAGCTAGAAGTGGCGTAAAACCATACTGACTCAATGTTATTTACAGGTGAGAAAATGATGATTACAAATATTGTGCATAGTAATGGTGTTGAAGGTCAGTAGTATTCTCCAAGGTCCGTGCGTCAAACGATGCTCACGTGGCCCTGCTCCAGGAAGATGGAGTAACCAATCGGAACATATACGAGATTGTGATTGGCGGATGGAGAAACACCCAATCAGTGATCAGAACAGGCATGCAGCACGCCAACAGGGTGACAGCTCGCCACCGACCTCTGAGTGCAACTCAGTTCCGTGATTTCTGGATTTCTTGGGATAGCGGTGTGATCTCTGTTGGAACTGGGACGGCTGTTGGAGCTGGGAGGTTCATGTCGTGGAGAGACCCCTCCCCTCACCCGTCAGGTACATCGCTGTATCTACTGGATGGGGGTCAATGGGTGTGTGGAGGTTTGGTAAGTAGTTTGGCGTGACCGTCATAAAGTAAACTAGCAGTCTCTGGGTGAGTGAGTTATGCGTGAAAGCTAACAGTAGTTCTTCACAAGTGGTAGACGCTGATTGTAGGCGCTAACACAATTTTACAAATAGCTAGTATTAACTCCAAGAAGACAAGTGAACTACTCGTAAACTACAAGCAATTTATGTGTGAAGCCCATATCCGGTGTCCCCCCGACGTGATTTTGCTGGAATATTGCTATAAAAGCAGCGTGAACGTAAACTCACTCACTCAAGTACAACTTGTTGTTGAATAAGGGTAGAATTTGTGTTTGACTAAAATCATTTAAAAGTTCCATTACACAACACAGCACTACAAATGTCCTGACCCTATTTTCCCTGCTGCATGGTGCTGCCATTAGGTTTTATGTTGCTATGTTCATGTTACAGAGCCCAACGTTCCACCAGCTTGTCTGGAAACGGGTAACGACTACCACTACCATTCCCTCGAGAATCTCGGTTTTCACCTCAACGGACAAACCTCCTTCACCTTCTGGGTAAAGACCACTAATGACGCTCACATCGCGTTGCTTAGCAACAGAGACAACTACGATCACAGCATGTTCGAAATCGTCATAGGAGGCTGGCGAAACACCCAGTCCGTCATCAGAAACAGGAAGCAAGGACCAAATCTTGCTTCTGTGGACACACGCCACTTTCTGGAAGCAAGGCACCAGCCATTCTGGATAAGCTTCAGCGGTGGTAGTAGGATCGCCGTAGGTTCTGGCAGAGAGGTCGGGAGACGTACCTTCCTGTCGTGGACAAACCAATCAGTAACACAGATCAGATATGTGAGCGTCGCCACTGGATGGGGGTCCACAGGAAAATGGCTTTTCTGTAAGTAAATCTCATGACGTTACTGACAAATTGTTTGTTGTTTCACCTCAGGTTTTAATACAAGCCGTGTGGTCGTCTGGTATTCCACTATTAACTTCTTTGAGTAGCATTTCAAAATATCTGTGATAAACAACGAATGAGAGTTCTATGGATAAACAACTTCTTTATTATAAATATGAGTGACGTTTCTGTGTAGCTACTAACACCGTTAAACATCCAAATGGTGTGAGATCAAGATATATCACCAAGGTGATATTGCTACAATGAAATGACATCCAATTGCTTGATTACGGTTTTAGTAGCTACACTGAAATGTCACTCACAATAAGAAGAAAACAGCTGTATATCCACAGAACTCTCCCTATTGTATTTATTCCATTATTGTTGCTTGCATTCAGTAGTAACGTATGCGTGTGGCTTACACTACAAAGCAAATACCTTTGGTTACCGCTATCTGTCAGTTGCATCTCTCACTCATTGTACAGCTGGAATAGCCACAAGTGACCACATGGTTTTGATATTTCTGTCGGTGTCACCTTTACGTATTTATACAGATAATGAAACTAGAAACATAGAGTTTATAGAAACATGGTGCAAGTTCTAACATATTTCATTCCTGGCAGTATTGTTTTCAATCATCCAAATAGTGTGAGATCAAGATATATATCCAAGGAGGTATTGCTACAATGGAATGACAGATTGCTTGTTGACCATTGTGACGTTATCGGTTACTATGAGATCACAATCAATCCATCTGGAACTCGTCAGCTGTACGTTTTACACTCAAGTCATTGCACATTACCTGTTTGGAAAAGGATGACGTTTGTCATAAAATATCATTACGAGTTTATAGGATTTTAAACCCCTGGGGTTGACCTTCTCGATAATAGTTTAATATTTTGATGTTGTAACCTTTCCTCGTGTCGATTGCATGATGAAAATATACTCTGGTTACTTGGTCTGCAAGGGTCGCTCATGGCAACATTGTGTTTGTTTCAGAGCCAGCCAGTGGATACAAGAAGACAATATGACTTTTCACTATTGTCAGCACCTGAGCACCTGGCCCCACCTGTAGGCATATGCATAAACATGCACTCCAATTCATAGACACATAATACAGTCTTCACAACATGGTGGATAATGATGTTTCTGCTAATTCTGTTTTAAACAGATTTATTCTTTGTCTGAAATAGAAATCCAATAATTCCTAACATTCATCACAATTATTGTATTCCATGTAGTTACATTATCCTCGTTCGTGTTGTTATTACAGTATATAAGTGTATAAGTTGTTTTGTACTGAAATAAACTGACTGCAATGTAGAAAAGCTTGTGTTTTACCAAATAACATTGGTGTGAGGTATACTTTATACCGTAGTCAACATGGCTGCTTTTGTCGGATTATGACCTTGACATTTTTATATCTACCACGGAGTCATGTTAGTTAAACTACATTATCTTACCTCACACATAAATGTTGTTTTTGTTATTTTCATTGTACCCCGCTTACAAGCGAGTAACATTTGCCATGTTACCTTCTGGGAATGTCGAACTGTGGAATTCATTTGGTACTTCGTGTTAGTAATTTTTTATCTCGAATAATTAAGTCACGTGTAATGTACGGAAATTACCGATGTTTTGCGAATGCAAATCGACAGAAAGGAGATAACTTTAAATTTGATTATCTTGTCGTCTTACGGCCATATTAGCTAATTGCTTAACTCTTGTATTCCTTATAATGGTCCGATACCCGTGCTTCAAACAGTTCAAAATTAGCATTGAGGTGTTCGGTAAGATAAATACGTTGTTCACTGGTCCCTCGGGCCCGTGGGGTGATGTAAACTCTATGTTTGTTTATGTTCCTCTCATAGATGGTACATCAACCCATGTCCCCCTCGTGACCAGTGAACAACTTATCCGCCACGCTCTGTGAAATTCATCGACAAGTAAGTTTTCATCTGCGTTTAATTAGATAGAAACAAATTCAAGTTATAAATATGCGCTGAAAGAGCGGAATATTCATTTAACATCTTAGTCCTTCCAAACATGTGGTTCCATGACTTTTGTTAACATGCTTACCGATTTTTGTTCAAGGACGAACAAAGCTTACTGACCTTTTCACATACTCACTACACCGATGTAGAATCAACTCAGCGTTTGTAAAGCACATTTCCATACAGAAACATTCATGAAATCTTCAAATATGAGACACATGCAGATTTTGCACACATAAATTTTCATCGGTAACCGAATGCTTTTCACATATCATCCAATTATGTACTTATGAATTTTGAGAACTAGATGTTTTGTATTTGTAAACACAGATAACTCAACATAAACTGGAGGGAGACCCAGTGAGCTCAGAGATTCAGAGACTGAAGTCAGCATTGGGACAACACTTGTGGGATCATTTACAATTATATATCGCATTCTACAATCATGAGATTCTACTCTACAAACCATTCCCCACTATTTTTCTTGCAAGCAAATTTTGAAATTCAATCCTCGCAAAATGCTTAGATGCTTTACATATGCTTCAGATAACTTTTAATATTGCGAGAATTGAGTTTCAAAACATGTTTGTTAGAGAATACTGTAAAGGAATAGCGGTGTACATAATGGTTGGTGTCGGTAGGCACGTTTCAGTAGTCCGTACGTTTTACTACCGAACGTTTTTGATGAAAACGGAAGTGTTCGGATTAACGCGGCCTGACTGTAGTTTGTACTGGAGGTACTGCCAGGCCCACAATCGGGTTCTCGACTTTAGCCCTTTCTCGCAAGTCGTCCTGGCGCACATTTTAACCTTGCCAATTTCAAATCTGGAGGACATATCTCTAACATTCATTCCCACGATTGCCATGAATGTGCCTTCTTATTGATCTTGAGCATGTAACCTCGATGCACTAATATTCTTCCTCCACGGTGGGGCGGGATGAAATTAAGATCAATCTGTGCGTGAGCCATGATTGCGAATACATTGTTTAGTAAATGTGTCAGTCCTTGTTCACTACCAAAATGTTTACTACTTTCCAGAGTACATTCACTAAATGGTGAACATGTTTATTTAAACTAAAGTGGTGAACTCAAACACAATGTATCCTGTAAGTGGTGAGGTAAATTCACTGAAATGGTGAGACGACCCCATACTGTCAAAACAATACTAAGTGGCGTTAAATATTCCGTGGACACCGGCAAGTCGGCCTGGCACACCTCTGCGTGTCTATTTTGGTCTCGCAGGAAGCCCCAGTGAGAGTAAACCATCTGCATGGTATCTTCCCATTATGACTACTCCCAGTTTGACTACTCATGCACATACACATATAATGGAGCACCCCTACACTTAATCATGTACTGTACCTGTATAGCTGATTACTCCCAGTTTGGCTACTTTTGAAATAAACCTATAAGGGGAGCTCCCAGGACCCACCTATAGTGATTAGAGGCCAAGTGAATCAGGGGATCTTGTGATTATTCATTGTTTGTTTTGATATTTGGAGATAACTCCTCTACTTGGATTGAAACTTATAGTAGAGGTTGTTTGTTTTGAAAATTGGACATAATCACTTCAACTTCCATTCAAAATATTAACTGTAGAACCCTAATGGGTAGAACGCAAAGTTATTCTCAATCATTTTTATATGTCATGGAATTTATTGCCCGATGGAGCTGTTAACGCTATTTCCCTGAATCAACTAAAACCATGATAAACCCAACAGAATCTCTCAATTACTTTGATTTAAACTTAATAATTTAATAATTCTAAGATTTAAATCACAATTAAATACCGCTCGACTGAAACAAGTTGTTCACTGCCTACCGGCTCGGGTAACACTGCTACAAAGAGCCTACCGGCTCGGGTAACACTGCCACAAATAGGCGTACTTCAGACCGTATTACTTCGCCTACCGGCTCGGGTGACACTGCCACAAATAGGCGTACATCAGACCGTATTACCTCGCCTACCGGCTCGGGTGACACTGCCACAAAGAGGCGTACATCAGACCGTATTACCTCGCCTACCGGCTCGGGTGACACTGCTACAAATAGGCGTACATCAGACCGTATAACCTCGCCTACCGGCTCGGGGACACTGCTACAAAGAGGCGTACTTCAGACCGTATAACCTCGCCTGCCGGCTCGGGTGACACTGCTACATACCTTCATGTATGTGTAAGCACTTGGAGATCAGGTCTATGGTGACTTTGTTGGACTCAAGAAAGTCAATGCCTAAGATGAGAGAGTGGTATAGGTTATGGAAGACATGAAAGGTTTGAGGGAGATAGATGTGACCTATGCTGATGTCAAGAGAGATAGAACCTAGCACAGAGTGTTTTTCACCTCCTACACCAATGATTTCAGTGAGGTGAGATGGACCTAAATGAAAGGGTTTGATACCTATCTTGCGTAAGTAACCCATGCTGACACAGCTAACTGAGGCACCTGTGTCAACAAGAGCTAATGTTCTGACTTGTTTCACCTTGACATGAACAGTGTTCTTTGTCAAGGGTGCCACAAGAGATACAAAATCTGACTCTTGCCTGACCCCAGAATGTTGAGAATTAGGCGTGCATAGTTTCTTTTGTGATTACCTACCTTGAGCATAATATGCACGAATGCAAACTTTAGTATGGTGACCAGTTATACCGCAGTAGCTGCATATTGTGTTTCTATGAGGGCAATTGTGAGGGACCGCTGTGGTGGTGGTTGGGACTGCTGCTGTGGTGGCTGGTACTGCTGCTGTGGTGGTGGCTGGTACCTGCTGCCGTGGAGGTGGTGCTGCTGGTGGTGGCTGGTACCGCTGCTGTGGTGGCTGTGCTGCTGGTGGTGGTTGGTACCGCTGCTGTGTGGTGGCTGGTACTCCTGCTGTGGTGGCTGGGTACTGCTGCTGTGGTGGTGGCTGGTACCGCTGCTGTGGTGGTGGCTGGTACTGCCGCTGTGGTGGTACAAGCTGTTGTGCTGCAGGTGGTGGCTGGTACCGCTGCCGTGGTGGCTGGTACTGCTGCTGTGGTGGTGGCTGGTTACCGCTGCTGCCAGGTGGCTGGTACCACTGCTGCCGGTGGTGGCTGGTACTGCCTGCCGTGTGGTGGTACTGCTGCTGCTGGTGGTGGCTGGTACTGCTGCTGTGGTGGTTGGTACTGCTGCTGTGGTGGTGGCTGGTACTGCTGCTGTGGTTTGGTACTGCTGCTGTGGTGGTGGCTGGTACTGCTGCTGTGGTGGCTGGTACTGCCAGGCTGCTGTGGCACCAAGGTGGTGGCTGGTACTGCTGCTGTGGTGGTGGTTGGTGCACCGCTGCTGTGGTGGTACTGCTGCTGTGGTGGTGGCTGGTACTGCTGCCGTGGTAGTTGTGCTGCTGGTGGTGGCTGGTACCGCTGTTGTGGTGGTGTGTGCTGCTGCTGGTGGTGGCTGGCACCGCTGCTGTGGTGGCTGGCACTGCCGCTGTGGTGGTGGCTGGTACTGCTGCTGTGGTGGTTTGTGCTTCTGGCGGTGGTTGGTACCGCTGCTGTGGTAGTTGTGCTGCTGGTGGTGGTTGGTACTGCTGCTGTGGTAGGATGGTGCTGCTGGTGGTGGTTGGTACTGCTGCTGTGGTGGTGGTGTTGCTGGTGGTGGCTGTGCTGCTGCTGCTGTGGTGGTTGTGCTGCTGGTGGTGGTTGGTACTGCTGCTGTGGTGGTGGTGCTGCTGCTGTAGTGGTGTGGTGTTGCTGTGTGGTGGTGGTGGTTGCTGCTGTGGTGTGGTGGTGTTGCTGGTGGTGGTTGAGGACTGCTACTGCTGAATGGTGGTTGTGCTGCTGCTGTGGTGGTGGTGTTGCTGGTGGTGGTTGAGACTGCTTACTGTAGTGAAGTTGTGCTGCTGGTGGTGGTGAGGACTGCTACTGCTGCTGCTGCTGGTGGGTGGTGCTGGTGGTGGTTAGGTACTGCTGTAGTGGTGGTGGTGCTGCTGGTGGTGGTTGCCGTGTACTGCTGCTGTGGTGGTGCCGTGCTGCTGGTGGTGGTTGGGGACCGCTGCTGTGGTGGTGGTGCTGCTGGTGGTGGTTGAGACTGCTGGTGTGGTGGTGGTGCTGCTGGTGGTGGTTGACCGCTTACTGGTGGTGTGGTGCTTGGTGGCTGCTGCTGTGGTGGTGGTTGGTACTGCTGCTGGTGGTGGCTTGGTTGCTGCTGCTGCTGGTGGTGGTGGTGTTGCTGGTGGTGGTGGTTGTGCTGCTGCTGTGGTGGTTGTGTTGCTGGTGGTGGTTGAGACTGCTACTGTAGTGGTTGTGCTGCTGCTGTGGTGGTGGTATTTGCTGGTGGTGGTTGGTTTGACTGCTGCTGTAGTGGTTGTGCTGCTGTGGGTGTCATGGTACTGCTGGTGGTGGTGGTGCTGCTGCTGGTGGTGGTTGGTACTGCTGCTGGTGTGGTGGTGGTGCTGCTGGTGGTGGTTGGTACTGCTGCTGTGGTGGTGGGTGCTGCTGGTGGTGGTTGAGGACTGCTGCTGTGGTGGTGGTGCTGCTGGTGGTGGTTGAGACTGCTGCTGTGGTGGTGGTGCTGCTGGTGGTGGTTGAATGCACTGCTGCTGTGGTGGTTGGTACTGCTGCTGTGGTGGTGGTGGTGGTTACTGCTGCTGTGGTGGTTTGTGCTGCTGGTGGTGGTTGGTACTGCTGCTGTGGTAGTTGTGCTGCTGGTGGTGGTTGGTGCTGCCAGTGCTGTGGAGGGTGTGGTGCTGCTGGTGGTGGTTGGTACTGCTGCTCGGTGGTGGTGAATTGCTGCTGTGGTGGTTAGTACTGCTGCTGTGGTAGTTGTGCTGCTGAGTGGTGGTTGTACATGGTTTGGGTGCTGCTGCTGTGGTAGTTGTGCTGCTGGTGGTGGTGGTTAGTACTGCTGCTGTGGTAGTTGTGCTGCTGGTGGTGGTTGGTACTGCATGCTGTGGTGGTGGGTGTTGCTGGTGGTGGTTTGTGCTGCTGCTGTGGTGGTTTGTGCTGATTGCTGGTGGTGGTTGGTACTGCTGCTGTGGTGGTGGTGCTGCTGCTGTGGTGGTGGTGTTGCTGGTGGTGGTTGTTGCTGCTGCTGTGGTGGTTGTGTTGTGTTGCTGGTGGTGGTTGAGACTGCTACTGTAGTGGATTGTTGTGCTGCTGCTGTGGTGGTGTGGTGTTGCTGGTGGTGGTTGAGACTGCTACTGTAGTGGTTGTGCTGCTGTGGTGGTGGGTACTGCTGCTGTGGTGGTGGTGGTGCTGCTGGTGGTGGTTGGTACTGCTGCTGTGGTGGTGGTGCTGCTGGTGGTGGTTGAAGTACTGCTGCTGTGGTGGTGGGTGCTGCTGGTGGTGGTTGAGACTGCTGCTGTGGTGGTGGTGCTGCTGGTGGTGGTTCGAGGACTGCTGCTGTGGTGGTGGTGCTGCTGGTGGTGGTTGGTACTGCTGCTGTGGAGATGGTGCTGCTGGTGGTGGTTGAGGACTGCTGCTGTGGTGGTGGTGGTGCTGCTGGTGGTGGGTGGTTGGTACCTGCTGCTGTGGTGGTGGTGCTGCTGGTGGTGGTGGTTGGTACTGCTGCTGTGGTGTGGTGGTGCTGCTGGTGGTGGTTGGTACTGCTGCTGTGGAGGTGGTGCTGCTGGTGGTGGTGGTTGGTACTGCTGCTGTGGTGGTGGTGCTGCTGGTGGTGGTTGGTACTGCTGCTGTGGTAGTTGTATTGTGCTGCTGGTGGTGGTTAATTACTGCTGCTGTGGAGGTGGTGCTGCTGGTGGTGGTTGGTACTGCTGCTGTGGTGGTGGGTGGTGCTGCTGGTGGTGGTGGTTGAGACTGCTGCTGTGGAGGTGAATTGCTGGCTGGTGGTGGTTGGTACTGCTGCTGTGGTAGTTGTGCTGCTGTGGTGGTGGTACTGCTGCTGTGGTAGTTGTGCTGCTGGTGGTGGTTTGGTACTACTGCTGTGGAGGTTGTGCTGCTGGTGGTGGTTGGGTACCTGCTGCTGTGGTGGTGGTGCTGCTGGTGGTGGTTGGTACTGCTGCTGTGGTAGTTGTGCTGCTGGTGGTGGTTGAGACTGCTGCTGTGGTGGTTGTGCTGCTGGTGGTGGTTGGTACTGCTGCTGTGGAATTGGTTGTGCTGCTGCTGGTGGTGGTTGAGACTGCTGCTGTGGTGGTGTGATTGCCTACTGAGGTGGTGGTTGGGACTGCTGCTGTAGTAGTTGTGCTGCTGGTGGTGGTTGGTACCTGCTGCTGTGGAGGTGCTGCTGCTGGTGGTGGTTTAAAGGACTGCTGCTGTGGGAGGTGTAAGGTGCTGCTGGTGGTGGTTGAGACTGCTACTGTAGTGGTTGTGCTGCTGCTGTGGAGGTGGTGCTGCTGGTGGTGGTTGAGACTGCTACTGTAGTGGTTGTGCTGCTGTGGTGGTGGTACTGCTGCTGTGGAGGTGGTGCTGCTGGTGGTGGTTGAGACTGCTGCTGTGTGGTGGTGGTGCTGCTGGTGGTGGTTGGAGACTGCTGCTGTGGAGGTGGTGCTGCTGAGTGGTGGTTGGTACTGCTGCTGTGGTGGTGCTGCTGCTGCTGGTGGTCGTTGGTACTGCTGCTGTGGTGGTGGTGGTGCTGGTGGTGGTGGTTGGTACTGCTGCTGTGGAGGTGGTGCTGCTGGTGGTGGTTGGTACTGCTGCGGTGGTGGTGGTGCTGCTGGTGGTGGTTGGTACTGCTGCTGTGGTGGTGGTGCTGCTGGTGGTGGTTGCTGAGACTGCTGCTGTGGTGGTGGTGCTGCTGGTGGTGGTTGAGACTGCTGCTGCTATTGGTGGTGGTGCTGCTGGTGGTGGTGGTTGGTACTGCTGCTGTGGTGGTTGGTACTGCTGCTGTGGTGGTGGTTGGTACTGCTGCTGTGGTGGTGGTGCTGCTGCTGTGGTGGTGGTGTTGCTGGTGGTGGTTGTGCTGCTGCTGTGGTGGTTGTGTGTTGCTGGTGGTGGTTGAGACTGCTACTGTAGTGGATTTGTGCTGCTGCTGTGGTGGTGGTGTTGCTGGTGGTGGTTGAGACTGCTACTGTAGTGGTTGTGCTGCTGTGGTGGTGGTACTGCTGCTGTGGTGGTGGTGCTGCTGGTGGTGGTTGGTACTGCTGCTGTGGTGGTGGTGCTGCTGGTGGTGGTTGGTACTGCTGCTGTGGTGGTGTGGTGCTGCTGGTGGTGGTTGAGACTGCTGCTGTGGTGGTGGTGGTGCTGCTGGTGGTGGTTGAGACTGCTGCTGTGGTGGTGAGTGTCAGTGCTGCTGGTGGTGGTTGGTACTGCTGCTGTGGTGGTTGGTACTGCTGCTGTGGTGGTGGTTGGATACTGCTGCTGTGGTGGTTGTGCTGCTGGTGGTGGTTGGCAACTGCTGCTGTGGTAGTTGTGCTGCTGGTGGTGGTTGGTACTGCTGCTGTGGAGGTGGTGCTGCTGGTGGTGGTTGGTACTGCTGCTGTGGTGGTGGTGCTGCTGTGGTGGTTGTTAATTACTGCTGCTGTGGTAGTTGTGCTGCTGGTGGTGGTTTGGTACTGCTGCTGTGGTAGTTGTGCTGCTGGTGGTGGTTGGTACTGCTGCTGTAGTAGTTGTGCTGCTGGTGGTGGTTGGTACTGCTGCTGTGGTGGTGGTGTTGCTGGTGGTGGTTGTGCTGCTGCTGTGGTGGTTGTGCTGCTGGTGGTGGTTGGTACTGCTGCTGTGGTGGTGGTGCTGCTGCTGTGGTGGTGGTGTTGCTGGTGGTGGTTGTGCTGCTGCTGTGGTGGTTGTGTTGCTGGTGGTGGTTGAGACTGCTACTGTAGTGGTTGTGCTGCTGCTGTGGTGGTGAGGTGTTGCTGGTGGTGGTTGAGACTGCTACTGTAGTGGTTGTGCTGCTGTGGTGGTGGTACTGCTGCTGTGGTGAGGTGGTGCTGCTGGTGGTGGTTGGTACTGCTGCTGTGGTGGTGGTGCTGCTGGTGGTGGTTGGTGTACTGCTGCTGTGGTGGTGGTGGTGCTGCTGGTGGTGGTTGAGACTGCTGCTGGTGGTGGTGGTGCTGCTGGTGGTGGTGGTTGAGACTGCTGCTGTGGTGGTGGTGCTGCTGGTGGTGGTTTGGTACTGCTGCTGTGGAGATGGTGCTGCTGGTGGTGGTTGAGACTGCTGCTGTGGTGGTGTGTGCTGCTGGTGGTGGTGGTTGGTACTGCTGCTGTGGTGTGTGGTGCTGCTGGTGGTGGTTGGTACTGCTGCTGTGGTGGTGGTGCTGCTGGTGGTGGGTTGGTACTGCTGCTGTGGAGGTGGTGCTGCTGGTGGTGGTTGGTTGGGTACTGCTGCTGTGGTGGTGGTGCTGCTGGTGGTGGTTGGTACTGCTGCTGTGGTAGTTGTGCTGCTGGTGGTGGTTGGTACTGCTGCTGTGGAGGTGTGGTGCTGCTGGTGGTGGTTGGTACTGCTGCTGTGGTGGTGGTGCTGCTGCTGGTGGTGGTGGTTGAGGACTGCTGCTGTGGAGGTGGTGCTGCTGGTGGTGGTTGGTACTGCTGCTGTGGTAGTTGTGCTGCTGTGGTGGTGGTACTGCTGCTGTGGTAGTTGTGCTGCTGGTGGTGGTGGTTAGTACTGCTGCTGTGGAGGGGTTGCTGCTGCTGGTGGTGGTTGAGTACTGCTGCTGTGGTGGTGGTGCTGCTGGTGGTGGTTGGTACTGCTGCTGTGGTAGTTGTGCTGCTGGTGGTGGTTGAGACTGCTGCTGTGGTAGTTGTGCTGCTGGTGGTGGTTGGTACTGCCTGCTGTGGAGGTGGTGCTGCTGGTGGTGGTTGAGACTGCTGCTGTGGTGGTGGTGCTGCTGGTGGTGGTTGAGACTGCTGCTGTGGTAGTTGTGCTGCTGGTGGTGGTTAGTACTGCTGCTGTGGAGGTGGTGCTGCTGGTGGTGGTTGAGACTGCTGCTGTGGAGGGTGTTGCTGCTGGTGGTGGTTGGTCTGCTGCTGCTGTGGTGGTGGTGCTGCTGGTGGTGGTTGGGACTGCTGCTGTGGTGGTGGTGCTGCTGGTGGTGGTGGTGCTGCTGGTGGTGGTGGTTGGTACTGCTGCTGTGGTGGTGGTGCTGCTGGTGGTGGTTGGGTACTGCTGCTGTGGTGGTGGTGCTGCTGGTGGTGGTTGAGACTGCTGCTGTGGAGGTGGTGCTGCTGGTGGTGGTTGAGACTGCTACTGTAGTGGTTTGTGCTGCTGCTGTGGAGGTGGTGCTGCTGGTGGTGGTTGAGACTGCTACTGTAGTGGTTGTGCTGCTGCTGTGGAGGTGGGTGCTGCTGGTGGTGGTTGAGACTGCTACTGTAGTGGAAAGGTTGTGCTGCTGTGGTGGTGGTACTGCTGCTGTGGAGGTGGTGCTGCTGGTGGTGGTTGAGACTGCTGCTGTGGTGGTGGTGCTGCTGGTGGTGGTTAAGGACTGCTGCTGTGGAGGTGGTGCTGCTGGTGGTGGTTGAGGTACTGCTGCTGTGGTGGTGCTGCTGCTGGTGGTGGTTGGTATTACTGCTGCTGTGGTGGTGGTGCTGCTGGTGGTGGTTGGTACTGCTGCTGTGGAGGTGGTGCTGCTGGTGGTGGTTTAGGTACTGCTGCTGTGGTGGTGGTGCTGCTGGTGGTGGTTGGTACTGCTGCTGTGGTGGTGGTGCTGCTAGTGGTGTGGTTGGTACTGCTGCTGTGGTTTTGGTGCCGCTGGTGGTGGTTTGTGCTGCTGCTGGTGGTGGTTGGTACAGCTGCTGCTGTGTGTTGGTGGTGGTGTCTGTTGTCTGTGGTCGTGTTCCCAGGGCTCTTGCTGCTGTAGACCAGTTGAAGGAAATTGCTGACTGTACAGCACAGGCCCTGTGTGTTAGTGATCAACATGGCCACCAAGTTTGTTAATTGTTCAACTTGTTGGACCAAGCCGACCTCTGCTGTGCTGGGAGCCTGCGACTGTGCAGCCAGCTGTGCCACAGTGACCAACCTCGTCCAGGGGTTGCTGGCTCCTTCGTGTACACCCACTGCTTAATCTGTAGGAGTAGCCCATTGATTGCAATAGCTACTATCACAGATTGTGGCAATGTGGAGTGTAATAACATGGATGATTGCACCCTGGTGATGTAGTCTTCTATCGTTTCCTGCTCCTTCTGTGCCATGTGTAGAAGACCCACGTCAAAGGAATGCACCGAAAACGTTGTTTGAAGGCTGCCTTCAGTGACTGCATGCCACGCTGAGTGGTTTCAGGCAGGCAGAGAAACCATACCTTTGCAGCGCCGTCCAAGTAGATTGGCAGAATTCTGCAGGGAAATGTAGTTTGAATGTCCATGGAGGATGTTAAAAATTGGCACAATCTGCCCACCAACTTTAAGCATCCTGTTGTCCATTGTATTTTTGAAAGGTGTACTTGGGCCTTTGTTGTTTGATGTTGCTGGAGTGCATTGAGACAATTGGCATGGGACTGTGATGTGGTGTCTGACCTTCTCTCGTACGTTGATAAAGGGGGTGATGGTGTCGTCAGACGTAGTGTTGTGTTGAACTGTGGAGGTGGTGTTGCTAGGACTCCTCGCAGTCTTCTTGTAGTCTTCAGGGTTGGCTCCAGGCATCGAGGATCGAACGTCTCCACCAATTAAGACAGCTTGGCTTGTGTCTGTTACGACGACCTTTAGCGTTTGATGTGCTAAAGGTGCTGTCAGGCCTTGATTTTGGGAATTAGGTACAGGAAGCGAGCCCTTTGAAACAAGAAAGGGAGAGCTGTGAGTTCCTTGGGTTTATTCAAGCAAGTGTCTCTTGCATGACATTCAAAATATATCAATTTATACATAATAATGACATACAATAATAGAAATAATAATCAATGACATCCTCATACAGTTTAAGTCTAAGTCAGGTAGTAAAGGCAATGTGTGGTATAACAGAGTATGTAAGGTAACAGCTTACAGAAACATAATACAAATGATACAACATTTCCTTGAGTAACTACGGTACTGATAATAACATGATCTCACGCATAAATTAACCATCAACAACAATTGCAGAGGACAAAGTACGGAGTGCACCAATTCCTTACAGCATGTAGTGCCTGGTTCATTAACTGCTGTACGGATTAATGACTATTACGGTATTTCGCGCCTAATGTGTTAACTACGGTAAGGGTTTATGACAATCACGGTATGTAGTGCCTATTGCATTGAAAGAATTATTTGGGAAACAACGGTAAATGTATTTCGACGGTGATGTTGCTATAGGCAAAGTGCAATTTCGACATATACGGAATTAAGCCATGACCTAGAATATATGTAATGCTGTAGTGCTACACTTAAACCAAAGGGATGTCGGAAGGTACAATTTTGTGCTTTACAAAACAAAGAAAACAGTAACTTAGTTAAATGAATATGTAATAATGTACTAGGACGGCGCTATTGTCATTGGCTACGCGTATTTCTTAAATTACAGGCTAAACAAATACGGAACGAAGACTGTAATTGCAAACTTCACGGATTTGAATGTATATTTTCTGGTAATATGAAGAGTAGACAATACCATTTTCTACTGATTACGGTAATGTGATTCGCGTATAAACTGTTCTGTACGGTATACAACTGCACGCGGAACGGAACGTTTAATATCATTATTCAAATACTTATCATGTTGGTGAAATATCAAAATACAAATGCTGGCTGTTATACCTTTTATATGAGCGCGTATCTGAGGTAAATCAACACCACTAGCATTTGATCGGCGGACTATCGTAAAATACGGACATACAACTTCGTCCTTGCTGGATATTTAACACGTCACAATTTAATTCTGGACTCACAAAAAGTCCAGAAACTCTCCACTCCTAATGGCCGCTTTCTGACAAAGGATCTGACAAAATTAAATATGCAGTTGTCGCTTGAATATATGCTAAGGATGAAAAATGAAAAAATTTTTTCGAAAACTCAAAATTTAAACTACCTCGCCCATGGGTCGGCCCATGGCCACTGTTCCTTATGGGGGTCATGCGGCGAGAATGTTTAATTTCGCTCAGACTTCATGTTTTGGAGGTTGAAAATGAATGAAAGCATGTTTAGAAGTATCACCACACAAAAATTAACTCATTGTGACTTAATTCGGCTAATTTAGACCGATATTTAAATATCTCGCCCATGGGCGAAAGAAAGTTTGGCCCATGGGCGAGATTTTCTATGTTTGCTCAAAATCATGGTTTTTCAAGTTTGAAGGTTGTAAATGAATGAAAGCATGTTTAGAAGTATCACCACACAAAATTTAACTCATTGTGACTTAATTCGGCTAATTTAGACCGATATTAAAATATCTCGCCCATGGGCGAAAGAAGTTTGGCCCATGGGCGAGATTTTCTATGTTTGCTCAAAATCATGGGTTTTTCAAGTTTGAAGGTTGTAAATGAATGAAAGCATGTTTAGAAGTATCACCACACAAAAATTAACTCATTGTGACTTAATTCGGCTACTTGAGACCGATATTAAAATATCTAGCCCATGGGCGAAAGAAAGTTTGGCCCATGGGCGAGATTTTATCTGTTTGCTCAAAATCATGGGTTTTTCAAGTTTGAAGGTTGTAAATGAATGAAATTATGTTTATAAGTATCACCACACAAAAATTTAACTCATTGTGACTTAATTCGGCTAATTTTAGACCGATATTAAAATATCTCGCCCATGGGCGAAAGAAAGTTTGGCCCATGGGCGAGATTTTCTATGTTTGCTCAAAATCATGGGTTTTTTCAAGTTTGAAGGTTGTAAATGAATGAAATTATGTTTATAAGTATCACCACACAAAATTTAACTCATTGTGACTTAATTCGGCTAATTTAGACCGATATTAAAATATCTCGCCCATGGGCGAGAAAACATTTGGCCCATGGGCGAGATTTTCTACTTTTGCTCAAAATCATGCTTTTTCAAGTTTAAAGGTTGTAAATGAATGAAAGCACGTTTATAAGTATCACCACACAAAATTTAACTCATTGTGACTTAATTCGGCTAATTTAGACCGATATTAAAATATCTCGCCCATGGGCGAAAGAAAGTTTGGCCCATGGGCGAGATTTTCTATGTTTGCTCAAAATCATGCTTTTTCAAGTTTGAAGGTTGTAAATGAATGAATATATGTTTAGAAGTATCACCACACAAAATTTAACTCATTGTGACTTAATTCGGCTAATTTAGACCGATATTAAAATATCTCGCCCATGGGCGAAAGAAAGTTTGGCCCATGGGCGAGATTTTCTATGTTTGCTCAAAATCATGGGTTTTTCAAGTTTGAAGGTTGTAAATGAATGAAAGCATGTTTAGAAGTATCACCACACAAAAATTAACTCATTGTGACTTAATTCGGCTAATTTAGACCGATATTAAAATATCTCGCCCATGGGCGAAAGAAAGTTTGGCCCATGGGCGAGATTTTCTATGTTTGCTCAAAATCATGCTTTTTTCAAGTTTGAAGGTTGAAAATGAATGAAATTACGTTTATAAGTATCACCACACAAAAATTAACTCATTGTGACTTAATTCGGCTAATTTAGACCGATATTAAAATATCTCGCCATGGGCGAAAGAAAGTTTGGCCCATGGGCGAGATTTTCTACGTTTGCTCAAAATCATGGGTTTTTCAAGTTTGAAGGTTGTAAATGAATGAAATTATGTTTATAAGTATCACCACACAAAATTTAACTCATTGTGACTTAATTCGGCTAATTTAGACCGATATTAAAAATATCTCGCCCATGGGCGAAAGAAAGTTTGGCCCATGGGCGAGATTTTATCTGTTTGCTCAAAATCATGGTTTTTCAAGTTTGAAGGTTGAAAATGAATGAAATTATGTTTATAAGTATCACCACACAAAAATTAACTCATTGTGACTTAATTCGGCTAATTTAGACCGATATTAAAATATCTCGCCCATGGGCGAAAGAAAGTTTGGCCCATGGGCGAGATTTTTCTACTTATGCTCAAAATCATGCTTTTTCAAGTTTGAAGGTTGTAAATGAATGAAATTATGTTTATAAGTATCACCACACAAAAATTTAACTCATTGTGACTTAATTCGGCTAATTTAGACCGATATTAAAATATCTCGCCCATGGGCGAGAAAACATTTGGCCCATGGGCGAGATTTTCTACTTTTGCTCAAAATCATGCTTTTCAAGTTTGAAGGTTGAAAATGAATGAAAGCACGTTTATAAGTATCACCACACAAAATTTAACTCATTGTGACTTAATTCGGCTAATTTAGACCGATATTAAAATATCTCGCCCATGGGCGAGAAAACATTTGGCCCATGGGCGAGATTTTCTACTTTTGCTCAAAATCATGCTTTTTTCAAGTTTGAAGGTTGTAAATGAATGAAAGCATGTTTATAAGTATCACCACACAAAATTTAACTCATTGTGACTTAATTCGACTAATTTAGACCGATATTAAAATATCTTGCCCATGGGCGAGAAAACATTTGGCCCATGGGCGAGAGTTTCTACTTTTGCTCAAAATCATGCTTTTTTCAAGTTTAGAAGTTGTAAATGAATGAAAGCACGTGTATGAGTATAATGACACAATTTTCAACTCATTATGACTTAAGTCGGCGAATTTAGAGCGAGATTTTCTATTTTTGCTCAAAATCATGGTTGTTTTCAAGTTTAAAGGTTGTAAATGAGTATCATGACACATATTTTAGCTCATTGTTGCTTACTTCGGCTAATTTAGGGCGATAGAGAAAACATTTCGCCCAGCCAGAAGAAATGTTAGCATATTCTGCATGTAACTATTCGTTATGCACCCACATGCACCCACAAACGCTCTCACGCACGCAAATAATAGTCCTCACTTCATTAAAACAATCATATCCAAAGATAGAAACTATCAGTTTGTGGTGTTACAGTGACATGCGGTCAGCACCATTATCCACCAACATCCATCTCACTATGTAATTTTGCATATAGCGAAGTTTCTTTTGCTTTAAGATGCATCCACTTGGCTAAGCAAATAGCGTCAAGTAAAAAACGTTTTTGAGGGTTAAAATGATTTATTCATGAATGTATATACTTGCAAATACAAAATGTGTTTATGGGCATTTGGCATACTCGAATTTGTGATGCACACACACACACACACACACACACACACATTCATACATACATACATACATATATATTATAATTCACGTTTTTAAGGGAACCCTACGTGTATATCAAGGTAAAAATGTTCATATTTGACACATGATAAAAAGGTTCCAAATAGAAAATGAGATAAAATGCAGAATAGATATCTATGTTTCAATACATATAGACCATATACTGTATACACTGCGGTCCCACATTAGTTTCTTTTTTCTACATATCTTTGGTGAATTTTCTTTTCCAGTCCATCTTCATAACGAAGAAACACCTTGTCTGAAACAATATGACAGAGCTTGTTTGAATGGCATTTAGAAGTTGGTGTGATGATCAACGAGGAGAGTTATGGATATACAACTTCTTTTATGAGCGACGTTTCGGTGTAGCTACTAACACCGTTATCAAGCAAATGACGTCACATCCTCGTTGTTCAATATAACAGAGTAAAAGTATAACCAATGGAAGAGATGTACGTTACTGGACTATGTACGATGCACAATATTATTTACAATGTCGACAAATCTAACAGTAGAAAGATATGTTAATACATTAAGTAAACCTAATGATATAATAGACGTACCCCCATCAACGGCTACAACTGTTGCTGGATACATTGTCCTATACGTTACGTTGTAACGGGCGCTGACCATGTCCCCTTCTGCAAACTGAAGCGCAGATTTGTGAATTATCTTTTTCTGTGGCTAGCAATACGAGTGGGACAAAAATCTGTCTAATGGGAAAAGGAAATGTTTAATACAAGTGCTTTTTTCAACAAGCGTATGACATCAAATTGAACATAATCCATTTTGTTTACTTACAGCTTTTCATCAACTGCATAACTACATAACATAACTATATATAAACATCACTTCTCTTGGTGAAAATCTCAATTCACTGCAACTGTGTTAAAAACTGCATCTAAAAAGACTAGAAGTCTTGTCGGGTCAGTCATGGCTGGTACTACATGTCACATTTGAGAATCATCTTGAAAAATATATTCCTTGATATCATACTAACCTTTGGCTTGATGGGTCTGATGAGGCTCGTCTCTATCCACGAATCATAGTGTTTTGAATAGTTCATCCAATGGACCTTCACACGAGAATTTCCTTCCTGTATAATTTTGACCTTGAACCTGATAATATAATGCAACATAATGAGAAGACATCGAACAGAAGCCCATGTCACGTGTACTGGTATTACTTAGTATCTTACATATCGTCTCAGCAATTATTTTTTAAATGCACCGACCAGAAGAAGCCATGCGTAAATTATAGGGTAACTGTGGGTTCGGAATTGCCTGCACTGTCTTTCATCAATGTAGTAAACTAGCAGCATCAGATTCCGCTGACAGCAGATATATAGCTGGGAGATTCTTACCACATTCCCGTGTCTTCATCTTTGCCCTCCATCAATTTTCCAGTCGTCTGAAACGTAATCAAATACAAATAATGAGCGCAGGTAGAGTTTATATTCATATGGCATTCCTCTGATGATAATGCCTTTTGGATTACTGTTTACGCCGTTTGATAATTAAAACGCTCTGCATGATGTTGTGTTTAAGCCGAGTATGCACCCATTACAAAGTTGGCTTGTTCATTACAATATCATCCACTAATAGTGAAAATGTCATAGCACCAGATTTAAAATTAAGCAATCTGTCTCACACATTACATAATTATAATTTATGATACAGATCAATCGCTCTTTAGTAGCTCACAATGAGCGGGCATGATGTTGTGGGAGTGACAACATGTACAGAGAAGCAAAGACTCACAGCATTTGTTTCTTCCTTCCTTCGGTGTTGTTCGATAAAGCGTTGAACCTTAACGCAACGAAAATTACACAATGCTATTTAGAAATGAAATACACAATGCCATTTTCAGAAATTGGTCAAATGTAACATGTTATATTTGGGATTACTCGAACCCGCACCCTCAGAGTCAGGCACCTCATCGCCAGCACACCGCCTAGTCAGACGCCTAGACCGCTCAGCCACTGCGGCGTCCACAAAAATGGAAGTCGGACAGCTGGTAGTCTAGACTGCGGACTTTGTGTACCCCTCTGATAAGTGTCAATTGGCACGGCTTTGTGTGCCAGCGATTAGGTGCCTGACCCTGAGGGTGTCGGTTCGAATCCCGGATGGGACTCAACCCAAAAAGTACTAGAATCTGTACTTTACTAAGAAAATGTAATCCCAAATATAACATATGTACCATTTAGAAAGTCAAATTAACCTTAAGACCAGGATCTGTAGTTATCCAAATGATTTCATCTTAAGAATGAATTAAATAATTTTCTTTCTGAAAATACTCAACATTAGATCCGCTATTCTTTATTGGTTGATGGCTTTGCTATAGCTTATGACCCCTGTTTTATCCGAGGATACTGTATAATGAGTGTCATAATACCTGCTCGTGCTGTTGTGTCCCCGTTGCCTGTAACGAAATGAATGGAAATAGTTTTATTCAGAAAATATTCAGAAGTCATTAGCTATGGAATATAGGTGGGTACTCATTTTGTGTGGAATACAAGACTCACATACCGTATTCTCGCCCTCGCTTGCTTCATGTCGGAGTTCTGCTTCCAAATCAGTCTCCTGTAAGTACAGATGACTTTCGTTACTCATCGAAGAACCTATGGCACAAGGTTTAGTACTTTAAGTATATGTTATCTTTACAATAACCTTAAACTTCCAAATGCCAATCAAACGTTGAAAATGCCAATATCTTTGCCATGACAACTCCTTTCGTGATCATTAACATATGTAGCAGGTTACACAATGGCGGTACGCGACTATACACGGAAGTCGCTATACATACCACGGGAAAAAAATCCTCGGATTGAAACTCGTAAATCTGCAGATAAAAATATTCATGTAAATAATCTTCACATCAAGAAATGTTAAAACATCTTCGTATACCATGCCACTCATATTTGTATGTGAACTGTATGGTAGTAATAACGTGAAATCTTGGTTGCGTCTTTGAGAAGCCCTTCATTAAAAGTAACCAGTGTCGAGTATGAGTACGAACTTGACGTCAACTAGAATGGTGTACCCGGTAATAAGAAATTTGTTACATTTGACCAGGCACTTTGTAAGTATGTGTTATCTATCATTACAGGAGTGTAATGTTCTATAATGAGATGACTGTGCAGTCTGATAATCTGTGCAGATGTGCATAGTACTCACGTTACTTGTTTCCATTTGTGGCTGGTCATTGCCATGAGAAGCACCAGCCTGAAATAATATTTAACATTGCATATCAAAACAGCATGAAGAACATGTCGAGTATGGCGATAAGAACATTAGTTTCGGAGAATAATATTCTGCCTACCTTCAGTATCTGGATTTCTGTTTCCAAGGACGCAATCCTTTTCTCTTGCCTTTTCAGTTCTTGTTTTAACTTTTCATTCTCCCTTTCAAGGTCAATTCGTCTTGTGTCTGTAATGAAAATCCTTTTTCGGTCATCAAGTTGTGTGTGTGTGTTTGTGCGTGTTCGTGTGCGTCTCTGTCTGTCTGCCCAGTGGATCTATATATAATACCTGGTGTGGAGGCAACATAATGTATCATGTCATCTTGTAATCCCAAATCCATGAATATATGTGGAGCATATATTTCCTCAGCTAATACACTAAACTTCAGTAATTTAAAACTAATTCATACCTTTCCCTTTTCATTATTTTTTTAAAGTCCGGTTAAAGTTCTCTTTTCCGGTCCTTCCATCCCTGAAGTCAATCAATTTCTGGTACAAGGCTTCCTCGTCCCGTGTTCCAGGTATTTCTTTAAACAACGCCCTGTTGACGGCCTTTGCTGTCTGTTTCGGGAGTTGATTATGTCGATACTGTGTCATGATGTTTACCGCGGCATCATAACACCTCTGAGACATCACCGAAACTGCCAGGTGTTCCTTGTAGGCACCCCCAAAGTATGTCTAAAATAGAATAAAACACTGTATCTCATCTGAATGAGCATGTTCGATACGTACGCTCTGATAACTTGTTATTACTATCAATATTTTCAAAAAGGGAAATAAGAAGCCTTCCATTCCCGCAACTAGCTGACATATTAATCAATATATTGATATACTACTGACTGATCCTCTTGACATGTACATACCTTCTCCGATTCCAGGCCCACGGCTGCCATGCATTTCGCTCTCCATTCTTTATGTTTGGAGTCAAGTACTGCTGTAGTGTCAAATTGGGGGTTAGCTGGGTGGAGTCTCCGAAATGTCTACAATTATAAAGATTGTAAAGTGGTCAGTATTCGGATTTGGATTTCCCATTTGTGTTTGTGGGAATAAATGTAAGCACTGAGTTTACAGTGTCATACGATCACAAAAAAGTGTGTTGGAGTGGTCTAATTACCTCCACAACGGCTTGAAGTCGCTGGTGTCCAACCCCTCGCCATGGATGTCAGGTGATTCCTCCAAACCTACTGGTTCAACAGAAACTGCCGTGCTCGTCGCGGATTGTTCTGTTTATTAAACAAGTTGTATTATAATACATGCCACGCTAAACAATTACACACAATTTTACAAAAGTTAACATGCAATGTCACCTGCTTTGACTGTGTAACTACTCACAATAAGCCAAATTAATGTATACTAACATTGAAACCATACTGATTTAGTGGATTAATGGAGGCCATCTGATCCACCGCGCAAACCTGAAATTAACAGGGATTAGGTGTTTTCCTACCGAATGCGTGGTGCATAGAATGATAAGCTTTCAATATACATGTTTCCCCATGTTCACTGTACATGCTTTTATGTGTTTTATGTATATCCAACTCTTTCATTGTATAAACATTCTGTACATTCATTGTATAAACATATCACTCTTTTAAGTCTGTCCATCTCAATCAAAACACATTACTTAATCTCCTTTGATCTCTGAGCATATCAATTTGTAATACAATCTCACTGGCTTCCTGTACATATTATACTGGACAAAATAAGTTAGGATATTTGTGAATGTGAATTTTTAACCATATGTAAAATGAATATATAGATCATTATTCATAATTTCAAAATTTACATATATATCCCTCACTATTTTGCCCAGTATATATATTTTTTCTCGTAATCATATTCTGTCATTCAACTGATGAAGGCAAGAAGCAGCCCAGAAACGTCGTGTTGTAAATATAAAAGAAGATGTAAATCAATACCTACTAAATGCCCATCAAGCATCTCATACTGATTTGCTTAAATTTGTTCGTCTTACCTTTGTAGAAACTGATATTCCCGTTAATCATTAAAACTTCAAAGTCCGAGCGAATGTCGCCGCGTCAGTAGCCACGATTAACTCATCTAGGAAGCTGTCATTTCCCCATGTACTTCGTCACCAAGCAGTTCAGTTTCTTCACATTACCCCTTGATGCACCTGTCTAGCTGAAATTTGCAATGGTAAAACACATAACACTTCGAGGGAAATTAAAGGTTTTATAACCGATTAACGCCCTTATCGAATATTATCCAATATTTTCCTCTATTTATGCATTTTAGAGCTTACGTAGACACGGATTGCATGGCGTACATTTTGTTTAGCATCAAGAATTTCCATTGATGAACATATCTCGAATAAATACGATCAAATACAAGCCTAGTTTCTGATAGAAATTAACTTACTTCAACTGTAACTTTTTAGGGGCACGCAACGGATACAACACCAGAACCTGACATTCCTCTTTTCCACCGAACAATCCAAATGTGAGAACTCTGTGCACCGAAGATCCAAGCTGCCACTGCATCGCCATTCCTTCCAATTTTCGTCAACTGTCGGTCAATGATAAGTGACGGGAACGTCGCCAAGTGTCGTATATATTAATGAGACGTTTTAATAGTTGTAAAAGCATATACGAGACGTTTCAAAGGAAGTTGTTACTTACAAGCCCACTCTTATACCCCTCATCATCGCTGTCAGGGAAATGTTTTATCAATCCATTGTATTCTAATGTACGTCTTGTATATTGAATTGAGTCAGACCCTAATTTGATAACAGATTATTGCTAAAACACACACTTTAACCGAAATGAGGATATGGGTCTCCAATCGGTTGTTTCCTGTTTTTAAACATTTAGAAACGTTTATTCAATGTATGCAAAGTAAGTTGCTTTAAAACGGTTTATCTTGATTTGTATTAAAAATACAAGGTAAGTAGGTTCAAAGTAACCGATTGTGCTCAAAACGGTTTCTATCATTTCATATATACACCATGTACAAATCTTGTATTCATCCTTCTTTTCATTACTGCTCTCATATTTGAATTTGGGACAACTGCACCGATCAGCAAGCTCTTACTTTAGAAAACTACATTTAGATGTCCTTAGAAGAATAGCTGGTGCTGTCCGTAGAACAAGATATGAAATAATATATCGCGAAACTTCGTTGATTGAAAGGCGAAAATACTATAAATTGCTAACACTTTATAAAATGTATCATCGTTTATTACCGGACTATCTGTGGAATCTATTACCCCAATTAGTCGGGGATAATAGTCGTTATCCCTTACGTGATTGAACTAATTTAAAAAGCATATTCCAACAATAAGATATGCCAAATCATTCATTCCAGACACAATCAAACTCTGGAATTCACTGCCTCTCGAGGCTAGACATTTCACGCCCTTTTCAAAGAACAAAATAAATGTAATATTTACTTTGATGTATATTACGGAGGTAGAAATTGACAACTGAACTAAATATAGTAAAACTCAGAAAAAATGCCTTCTTTACATCTACGGATAGGATCTAGAAATGTCTAGACTCTTTTAAGCAAAAGTGTTGAAATGGATATATTTAAATGTAAATGCTAGAACTCTTGTGTGTCCCGGTATGTTCACTTGTTTTCATTGCAGCACTTATCATCATATTGTTAATTGCATCTTTCCTTCAATTTACTTATGAACACATGCTTCATTAATCTATTTACACATGAGTTGTCAATCATTTTTGCTTTCTATTTTGTAACCTTATGGAACAAGTTTTATGGATCACGAGTTTTGAAATTGTTAATAAACACAAAATGCTTGTTGTTTACCAACACAGGGTTGCCGAAAATAAACAATAAACCATATACATCATGCAACGTCATTACTGTTTCAAATGTGCTCATTATGTTAAATGATCTCTGCACAGATAAACTATTTATTGCAGATAAATGTGATAAATAATTTGTTCAAGTTAGTGCTGTTATCATCCACAACATGTTTATTCTTAGTTTTGCTTAATTACTATCTCGGTTTACAATCGTACATTTCTGTGTACCATCTCAGTTTGTTGAGTATTTTAGTGCAAACATGAGGCCCGCGGCGTGGAACGGTCCAGTTACGTAATTTCAGGAAAGCTCGAGCGCCAGCAAAGAAATCGGTCTGTCCCATGTTTGGTCTTGTGTATTGGAGTAAAACGCGAGCCGACGCTTTTGGTAGTATTTTGCTTCATTCCATTGATCACGCTGGGCAATTAAGGACACATAGCTGTGGATATACAGGTGCAGGTGCAGGTATTTAGGCGAAAAGATCTCATGTCTGCGCATTACATGTGCTAAATATCTCACAAATCATTTGTAATATGTCCAGTTGATTGTTTTATTACATGAGATGTCGAACTGACCAATGGGAATTCTGTTTGGGGAAATCACTTTATGAACTTGACTTAATGTCTTCCGATTATATATTGTTATGGGATGGAGAAGGCACCGTAGAGCGCACGTCAAATCTCCGAAATCATCATCATCAAGTAATCAGGAAACGATGTTCAACAACTTGATGAAGAAGTAGCATATATATATGATATCCAGTGATTCCTTCTGACAATCTTCTCATCACTGTTTTGCTAAAAGAAAAACTGTTTCTTCGGATTTGCGAATTTCGCACATGTTGACTTCTATGTACTAGTTCCCTATTTCCTTTATGGAAGAAATCACATTCGAAGCCATGACATATGAAGTTATCGGGCGCCCCTCAAATCACAGGCTTCAGAACTCAACGCTGACTTGGACTGCAAGCGTTGGCAAGCACTGTATAGATACGCTTGCACGCCACAAACGAGCAACGTTGCCCTTTACGTTATTGTTACAATATTCGGAATTCATTTATCGCTTTGCATTATAGATACTTCTCAATACGTATTGCGATACATACGTACGGGAGAAAACCCTTGAATAATGCTATTAAATAGAACGTACAGCTCTCGTCCTCTCACTTCCACGCGACTAGTGTCACAAATGGTTACAGTAATGGGAGAGACCCATTATCTTTTCGAAACAGATAGCCAAAATTGATGTGGCTCTCCCGGCAATAGTTGTGGTTGCGTGAACATGCAATGTGGCTCTCCTGGCTATGGTGTCAAAACATATTTAGTTATTCAAAACATGGTTAACTGTATTTAACAAACATGACATGTTTCCTCATAATTTTATTCAGATCACAAGAGATTTTATTTATAATTTCATAATAAATATAATATACTCATATGTCATATAATATTATCACATCATATTAAAACATCTAAATCTGAAAAACTTAAAAAAATGATAATGGTTTAATTTGTTGCCATGTGTACATTTCTGCATGGAAACTCGCTTCTATGCAGCTCATCATTTTCGGTGTTTCTTTTTTTAACACTTTTCACAATATCAAAGACAATATTGTAACTTACTTTCACTAATTCAAACCAGCAGAACATGTTTCCTTTAAAAGACTGAAATCATAGGAATGATACCCTTTTACAATTTTACAGTCTAAAAACAGTTGCTCTCTTTGTTTTAATAATTGAAAAATTGTGACTTTTAAATGGTTTTATCTCTGTCCCAAGCAGGATATATTTTTTCAACCTTTCTTTTGACATCTAAATCCACTCTGCTTGTTGGTTCATTCTCGTCATGGTGGAAACCAGGGACAATTTAACTCTTCTGAAAAAAGATGCAGTATGAATTCGTGTGAGAATTCGTCTCAGGATTTTGTTGTTGCTGACAAGTTGGTAGTGTTTCTTGGTAAACTAATACCTTCTAACATATTTTGATAGTAATTCATAGATGGTAGGAGGGTAACGTTTCTTTGTGTGGGAACAGTCTATTACCGGTTACTTTCTGGGTAATCCAAGTAATTAATAATCTATTGCAATGTTACTGAAATGTGTATATTCCTGGCAGGGAGTCAGCTTTGAAATGTGTCATTCCCGGTCTGACACAATTATTAACGGGTTAAAAGGTCCACAGGCCTACTTATATCCATTTTGATAAATCCACAAGTATACCAGGAAGCTGAGCTTGCATCCATGGCTACTTACTTTGTATACTTTGTTTTGTTATGTAGTAAGTTGCTTATTGTATTAACTAATTGTTTGATCGGCATTCTAGATGTTGGTGAGACATCAAATGAAACACACAATTTTTATGCCGTTACGACGTTTCGATGTTGATTCTTACATCGTTATCAGGGCTAAAAGTGATGACGATGTAAGAATCTTCATCGAAAACGTCGCTCGACGGAATAAACAAGAAGTTGAATGTTTTCATTATTGTTTTAATCCAAATATAATAAACGAAATTCCGAGTTTCACTGACCACTCAGTAGCGAGATTAGGACTGAATTTCGTTATTTTTACAGCTGTACCAGATTTAGATGACATTTGCTTTGACTATACCCTCTTCCTCAGAAGATTTATTCGACCATCAAGACTTTGAAGAGTTGCTTTGCACAGAATGTAAGTACTGATTTTATTGCTATGCTGAGTTATTGGACACCTGTCAAATCATCTGCGCAAAGTTATATAATTTTCAAAATCCTAAAGGTACTATGCTAATGTACGGTATATTCAGGAATCAAAGTGTCTTATTTGCTGGTCAGTGGGAATGCAATTTCATTATTTTCTTTGCTTGTTCACATTTTTATAAGGTTAGGACTATATAGTATGTTCTCTTTAGGTCCCTTTAGGTAACCCTTTGGTCTGCAAGTGTACTGTATACACCATGTTATACGTTTCCCTTAGGTATTACAGCGCACTGTCAGATGTCAGGAAAGGCCTCGCCACAGCCAGTCCAGATCATCGAAAAGATTTATGCTACGACACAAAACGGTTTTTAGCAGCAAAGCTCTGGCTAACCCGTTTTACCAGAAGGTAACTTTGGCCTCAAGGCAGTGAATATTTGAACGATTGATTGAAGTGCTTGTTGACTTCATCAGATCGATCCTCATTTGGTAGTAAAATATCACAAAAACCCACTCGTCCTGTAATATTTAGTGCATAACATATCTATTCAATTTATATAAATATTGGGATGTTAACATGTCCATTTCTGGTATTTGTTAGGCGGAAATATATATGTTCTCCAAGCGTTAGGCATTTTAGTGTTACGCGATCTGAACTGTAATGGATGTGGTATTCAGCAGTCAAGTACTAGTGGTAACCTTGCAGGTTGTTTTGATTGTGAACGAAGGTGCTAGCTGAACCAGATTAAATGTGATTCGGAATGTGTTAAAGTTTTGTCAATCGTAATGGGGAATAATCGTGATAGGGGAAAGTGTGCTGTCGTGTTACTCTAGTTGCGGTGCTAAAAGTCGACGAAGAACCTGACATATGGCCGTTATTTGTTCACAGATTTGGAGACCCAATGCCACACAGGGTACAAATTCAGCTGCCTTCAACACTCACTAACGAAGAGGGCGATCTGGCAAGAATACCAAGAAGAATTCAGCATGAATGGATCAATTTTATTTGAAATACAAAACAGATTTCTACAAATGTGGTCCGAACAC